GAGATTTCATTAGTTTACTTCGCCTTCTAAAACCCTATCTGTAGACCTTATCATCTGCATACCATGCGTTATTCACCATTCCATCTGCTCATATTGATTCAGATGTCAGCAGTGCTCTCCGTAGATGATGATGTATGCAGTGTTTGTGTACCTGGTACATAGTAAATCAATATTGTATATATTACTCTATTAGGCATAGAAATCTAAACTGGTTCCAAATTGTCTCATCCATCAGAATTGTATGGTAAAACTCAGGTAAAACAAATCCATGTATTCATGCCAGCGTTCTTTTTAAGGGTTAAAGCGAAATAGCCTCCCATGCAGCTTTTTGTGTTATTCTATAGCAACTACGGACAGCATTTCAATATCAAACTCGTCTGGCTGCCTGCAGAAGTACCTCTTGCTGTTAATGTCTTTTTTTGATTTGAATACGCTGCTACACCATTTATAGTCTTTTTTTTGGGAGTTATAAACTTAGTTATCTTAAAATGTGTTTGTTTTTTCTTAACACAAAAAAAAACATCTTTTACTCTTATAGATCCAATTGTAATGCATATATTTAAAGTCACATGATCAGCTGTTATCCATCAATCATTTTGGGGACATTAGCAACAGAGGACAGATATTGTACATGAATGTGAGTGAAATATGACCTGAGTGAGCGGATCTCCTCCACCAGCGGCAGGTTGCAGATGCGGACATGAATCTCGTGGGCGATGCGGTCGTATTTGGGGTACATGGCCAGCACCACCTCTTTAGCTGCTTCATCAAAAACCTGATGACAAGAGAGACACCATGTTGGTTAAAACTCTGATGGTTTGAATGGAGTCATGAAAAAGAAATATGATCCATTGTTGTTTTTACTTCCGTGTTAAGTCTGCACCACATTTCCTTTGAAGTGCAACAGACAAACTTGACGTGAAAGCAACGTAATAACGGTCTCTTCTTCTTTCAGGCAATGTGCTGGATTAAATTCACACAATAACAGTTTAATATGAATAGAAATAATAAAGTTGGACTCACTTTCAACATCTCAGTTGGAGCCTCTGGCAGGAAGTAGGCCAGGACGTGCTCTCTGGCTGCCAGGTCTTCATAGTTTACAACCAGGCTCTCCTTATTCTCTGGAATAACAGAAGTCAAGTCATTTAACATCAGACATTTGTCAGCATGTACGCACACACGTTTTATAAAACAGTTAAACTACCTTTGCACATGTCGCTGATCTTCTCCTTGAACACGTTGTGGCCGTTCTCGTCCACGTGGGTCCGCAGGAAGTTCTTGAAGCGGTTGTAGATCTCCAGCCTGGGAGCTGCCATGGAAACCCACTCCCTCACCGTGTGGCCCTGCAGAGCGGGAAAACACCGTCAGATCCTCCAACACAAACACTGTCCCAGCCTGACACGAAAAGCTACATCAATGTGTCTGTAATATATAACTCTAAGCAGCAAGTTTTACAACCTTCATGTCCTCCAGGTTCTCGATGCTCTCGATCATTTCCTCATCCTCTCCCTCTGCGATGCCTTCAGCTGCACGTTCAGCCAATCGCCTCCTCCGAGCTGCAGGGCGTTCGTCATCCTCATCTTCGCTGTCTGGATGACGGCAAGTATAAGAAGTTATTCACTCAATCCCCTTCTGCCTCCTTTACACCCCTGAACTGCTTTTAAAAAAAATGTGTCTGCTACTTTGACTATGAAAACATTGTTTTGCAAGTACTGTATTAACATGCTTTTATTTCCTTTCATATTTGTTCTGTTACTCCTCCTATTGTTATTAGTCTTTCCTTTTTAGGGGATCATCATGTTTTAAGTATTTTGGAACTACAGTTCTACAGGGATGTTGCCATGGAGTCAGTTGCAGACTAAATCTTGAGCACTGTTTTTTACATTTTGGCAAACTGGCACCATTAAGTATGCCAAATTAGTTAGTAGTAATCTCCTGTTTTTGGTGTACCCATGTTTGTAGAGATCACTGGATAATTGTACTAAAGACAACTTTAAAAAGATCTGAAGTTATAAAAAGAAGCATCATTTTTTTATGTTTTCTAACTGGATATATGGACATGTATTCATTCATATTTAAAAGATGATGATACATGAGTGAAAAGTCACATTAAATGTAAAAGTATGTGCATCGTGCCTATATGTTCAGATTTGATGGACCAAAGTACTTCAGAACTCCTGTTTTGTTTTTAATATTGGCATTTATCCGTTCTCTTCTCACCGTAGAGCAGTCCTCTCCTCAGCCTCCCGCTGGCGCCCGGCTCTCTGTCCCTCCTCCTCATTGCCTCCTCAGCGGCAGCCCGGGCGCTAGGCGACAGCTCCGACAGATCCTCGTCATCCAGGTCCAGACCCTCCGCCTCGTACTGATCCAGCGCCGGGATGGCTCGGTAATCCCTGAACAGAAAAAAAAACGTGTTAGCATCAAACAATGAAAAAACATTAAAGCAAATCCATTTGAACAAGTCCTTCCTCCTCACCTCTCCATCCCGTCCCCGATCAGCTCCTCTCCGTCCCCATCTTCCTCCTCCTCCACAGTTACTGCTTCATCTCCCAGCAGCCCCTCAGACTCGTCCTCGAAGGGTGGCAGGTCTCGCCCCGGGCTGGAGGTCATGTCTCCTCTCCGGGAGGCTCTGCTGGGGCTGGTGGCCATGTGGAATGACTCAGAGGAATCCTAACAACACAAAATAAAAACAGGTTAGTCTGACTACTATTAACTCAACATGACTAGATGCCAATATATACTTGACTTCCAATATGTATTACAGTGTTTTACTGGGCACCATTATTTTACAGTTTATCTTCAATTAGCTTTTCAGCCATTCAGCTTCTATTGCCAGGTTTTATTTCAATCATATTTTTACTATTTATTGCTATCTATTGTGTTTTGTTAACCCTGCCCCCCTTAGTGTTCTTTTCTCTTGTGACCAAATTTCCCATTACGATGATCAAAATATCAGTTTATTAGATTAAACTTCCACCTGTAGTTAGTTTATTGCTTCTGAAATCCAAATTATTTATATATTAAATTTGTTTGTTTTGTACATTTACAACAGACCTGCATTTCCAAAGGCAGAACATGCATTCTAAACATTAGAATAATGTTTGTGGCATGGGGCAAGCCATCTTTCCCCATACCTCATTATAAAGACTGGACTATTTAAACACAATTATGCATGCATGTCTAACACTGGCTGTCATGAATGGATTGCAAGTTACTCGCTCACTTTTAATTATATTTGTACCTTTTGTGCTCAATTAGTTGTCTCTCTAATGATTGAGTTAACTGAATATTACCATAGCATTTAACTTAATACAAGACGAAAATCCACCAAAAAAGTGTTACTTGCAGGAAGCTGTTGCAGCGTCCTACCTCCTTATATATTAGGGTGTTTTTTTGTTCTCATAATATCATATATCAAAAATATGTCATAATAACCGATAGAGATAAAGGAAACAATGCCTTGCAGCCATGTGGTAAAAACCCCAATCACAATTATAGCACAATGAATAATAAAAGATGGGTAATTTAAAGTGTCATTAACTAGCCTAATTTAACATTACATGAGATAAATGATCACATTATGTGAAAGATAAGTTTCCTTTTAGCAGAAAACATGATATTATTCATCTTATTTCCGTTATTCTGTTAAGCATTCGGTTATTTAAAAATGTACTTTTTATTTTGTCTGTAAGGTTTGCTCCATAAACCATGGACACCTAAATTGACATTCTTTATATACATTTTCAGGAACAAAAAACTCAACAGCCACATGGCAGGTCTTCTTTAAACAGCAAGAGGACAATCAACAGCCATTTGCATTAACACACTAATAATTGTTCATTATAACAACAATGAAAATGGGACTGAATACAATAAATAATTCAAATTCAGATAGCTTGATTTAAAGTGATATTTAATTCAGTCTTCTGAGCAAACCGAAGCCCTAAGCATCTCTGTCATTGTTGTGATGCAGACAAAAGCATAAATGTCAAACGTTTAAACAGTAGAAAACTCAACCTAAAAACTTCCATCTGTTTAATATAACATCGTGCTCCTTTAGTAATGTCACGAGACTCTATAATGAGCCGTTTTATTCGCTTTTTGCATCGTTTTAACTCACCGCCATTGTTCCGCGTCTATTTCTCTCTGCTTCTTGTAAAGAAACTTCTTCTTCTTCCTGCCGGGAGTCACTTTTCGCGCGAAAAGACCATGTGACGCTCAAAGCCCGCGAAAATGAATGAATATTCAAATACAACGCTGACGTTTTATCTCTTTATTGGTCGAGTTGTTTGAAAGGGGCTGGGCTTTAAAGAGAGTGCGTTTGGTTTAATCTACCAAGCAGTGAGCTTTGTCTTTGTGGCGTCTGAAAAAGCCATGGGCCAAATCTTAAAACAAACGCACCCTTCTCAGAACGTGTTGGGCTGGGGCGGTGTTTGTGATGTGTCTTTTTTCCCGGGAATATTTGGGCCGCGTGAGATTCCGTTTCACTGCCTCCTAAAACGGATGGCCACGTCCAAAACATTTTTCTCTTTACTGCAGTTTCTTTCTCAGTTAAAAACAAATCTGTAATCACAAAACATTGTCTGCTCATTAAGATGCTATTCTATACAAATGCATTGTAATTTTGGCCAACTGTGCAATAATTACAGCAGCTTGCTGCTGTCCAGTAGATGTTGAGGTATTTTACAGTATAAGTCAAATCCTTTATTTAAACAGTCTATGGAATAAACTACTCTCCACAAACATTTTAACCTTAAAATACCTAACTAATAAGTATTTTAATAATAAGGTGATGAACGCACAGAACATGTAGATAATTCTTCTTTGGGTTTAAATCTCCGAAATGTGCTAAACGTGGCTGGTTATTATCACATTTTAATTTTGGTATGAAATGCTATAATTCACTCCATATTTTTTATTTTGCATGAACGTGATCAAAAATGATAGTAAAATGGTTGAGAAAGACACATATACATCAGTACTGACAAAAAGAGACCAAATACCAACACCTCAAATTTAATAATCATTATTTATGACATGTTCACTCATTCATCAAATATAACATAGCCCCTTTCAAACCTTGCATTTTAATATAAGTAACAAAACAAAAATAATAATATATATACAGTATCAAAACAACAGTAGAACTCCTTTTTCTTGAAATAAAACAAAAGAATCAAAGGAAACAAATTAAATATATTTGCAAAGTTTTAGTGCATCAAATAAATAAATATCATAAATGACTTTTCACTCATTGGTATCAAAGGGGTTTTAAAAACGTGTATCTGTGTGAGTGATTCACAGTTATAAATGTTTATGTTCTTGTACAGTAATCCAAAATTCATTTCCCATGAAAACAAGCTTACAATAAGAAGCCTTTTTGCTCCTATTTGGCCGTTGACGTAGAAATGATTTGAGTGGGTCTTTTTATGTGAGATTTCTTGTGACATATAATTATTTTCACAATTATTAAAAGGAAAACATTCATCTGTAGACATTCAAATAAAAGCAATCTTTACAACAATTGTTCCAGGCAGGTTAAGGCTTATTTTAAGGGTGTGGGAATGTAATCCATAAAGAAATATTTAGTCAATGTATGTCAGGAGCTTCTATTCAAGGCAGAAATGTTTCATTTAGAGCAAATTAATAAATTGACAGAAATATTATACTAATTAAATTAACTATTGTATGAATCCATTAATCATTTCAGATATGTTCCCAAAGTGAAGCATTTCCAATATTCTCGTACTATAGCCTATCAATTGAGAGTTCCTGCTTTTCTTTGTCTTATATGAATGTACTGTAAACTCAGATTTTTATCATTTTAATTGACCAAGACAGCTGAAGTTTTCACATGTATCTTTTTACCCTTTCATAGACTAAATGCTTATCTACTAATTGATTAACTAGTTAATTAGTGTTTTCTTTTTTCACATTCAATGTTGTCTTTGTCAGGTAATAGGAACTTTAAAAAAACTTCAGTTTTGAAGCCATTACAGTTAAAGGAGTGTTGTTATGTACCATGATGAAGTTAGTGTTCACTTGATATTTAATTTGTTCACTAGGTATTAGAAGAAAGACAGCTGTAAAAAAAAAATGTGTTTAGAAATAGAGGGACAACAGAGATAAATGGACATTTTTAGACAATTGTTCCTAATTAAAATGTATATGGGAAGGCTTGATGTCAGGAATGATCCAAACAGAGGCCGGTTCCCACATTTTTATAGTATTTAAAGAAAAACAAGGCTTCAAAATAAAATCCCCAGCAGCACGATTGACGTTTCTCTACAGGAGAAAAAATGATGCGTAAAGTTGTTGCTTCAAAAGAAAAAAAGCCGTCCAAAATGAGGAGTGTCAAAACAAGATTATTTTGAAAGGCTTCCTAATAAAAGCCATCCTCCCAGGGCGCAGCTTCCAAAGTAAGGCGCTCCAGAGGAGGAATAGTAAAGAGATGTTTAGTTGGTGTTGTTTGTTTCACATGGCAGGAGCAAGATTTCTACATCCCATCTCAGAATCTCAGTCATGTGACATGTTGTGGCTTTTTTGCATATGAGGTTGTACCAGACACACTTTCTGCATGTGTCCAAAGGTTCTGTCTGAGCGTGGCTTTCATCCTCCGCAGCTTGTTTGTTCCCTTTGAGGATAAAAGAGACCCCGAGCAGTCTCCCTTCCTGGGGGCTGCCAGCCAGGTGGTGATGTGTTTGTGAATGTGTGTATAGTTATGTGTGTGTGTTTTATTTAAGGACCAAGGTAGCCTCAGAGCCATCTTTCCTCTTCAGATACAGTCCATAGCAGAGATGGTGTTCCCTCCTCAAGAAGGCGTAGAAATAATCTGACACCAGCAGAATCTGAGAATAAAAACAATATTTAGAAATCCTCAGTGTGTTTAAGAATGAACTAAATCATGAATAATTAAACAATGAAAAAACTAAATCAGATACAAGTCTCCCAACATTCAGTATAAGGAGTATTATTTCAAGGAAAAATCAAATATACACCAGTAATTTATAGTAATAATAGAAGAACAAGGACAAGAAGAAAACCAGTTACAACATCTACATGCATCTGTATTCTTCATGGAGCAGCCCAGTTAGCAGCTTAGCACAAAGGCATGAGGAAAAGCTAGCCTGGCTCCACCTTAAGGTTACAAATCCACCTTGCAACAAGCATCTCTAAAGCTCAAACGATTACCATTTTATAACTTGTTTGTTTAAAAGCAACAACTTGCTGTTTGAGTGCTCCCCCCCACACCACCCCCCCCCACACTCCCCCCCTACCTGTGCCACGTTGAACAGCAGTGTGATGGCGTAGTAGAAGTTGGAGTTGGCGCTGCCGGCGTAGATCCAGAGGTGCCAGAGAACCGGGAACAGAGCGGAGCAGGTGAGCAGCACGCAGCACACCAGGAAGATGTTCCTCAGGACTGGACAGGAGCACAAACCACGACAGCTATGGGTTTTACTCCAATCTTAACATTATTTTAGGTCTCATTTCAATGCAAATATGTGTTATTTGGCATATATTATTTCATTGAAGTGAAGAAGTGAAAGCAGTGGTTTGTTTATTCAAACATAAAAAGTTACATAAATATTCTCTCCTTAAAATCCAATTAATCATCGTGATAAATAAATTGTGATCTCAATGTTGATTAAAACTATTAATAACATCAAGATTATGACGACATGTCTGCTGGTGCTTTGTATATTTTCACTTTGTGTACTGAGCATTTTTTACTTTGGATTGATTCCATTTGATCTCATTTCAGGTTGCAGCTTGAGTGTGCTCCGTGCAGCGGTGTTATTTAGGCTAAAAGTATTGGATCAGAGTATCGGATTAGAATCAGGGCCAGAAAAACTTTATCCAAATATTTCTAGTTTCTAGTTAAGCGTTAGCATGTTAACTTTAATCTAATAAAGATGAAAACCAGGCGGTGAAAAGAAGTGAGCACTAGCTGAAGAAGTAATGTATCCATTGACTCACATCTGTGCAGGTGACTCCACACAGGCAGGAAGGCCATGTAGAGAGCGATGTCTCCCACAGTGGGGTAGGACTTAAAGATGGAGATCACAGCCAACTGCATAAAGATCAGAAACACTGGATGCTCCCTGTGACCAAGACACACATTTCAGAGGATTTAAGTTAACGATAACAATTGAAAAAGACAAACTGCAGTGCTTTATTAACTTGTAAAGGACGGAGGACTTACTTGAGTTTGATGGACAGAGGGATGGTGTAGAAGAAAACATTGATCTGAAAGACGCAGAGGAAGAAGAGGCGGAAGTGTTCAAACATCTCGGCGAAGAAATACCAGAAGAGGCCGATGTTGGGGGTCAGGTCAGGAACTGAGAGGCTGGAGGGAGGGGGAACACATGGTCAGATAATACAAACATCTGCCTACAAGACTTGTGATGCCTACTATGTACTAAGAGGGACATTTAACAGTCAAATAATCCACTTTCTTTTCTCAGAAGAAGTAACAGAGCTCAAATAAATGTCATTCTCAGACAATAAGTTAGTTTGAAGACTCTCTTCAGTCTTGCTTTACAAAGTATTTCAGTTTCTGTGCATCATATAAACAATTGTATGTCTTGTTCATGTTAATAGCGACTCACATGAAGCCGTAGACGGACGGCAGGAAGTCCCAGGAGCCGAGCAGGAAGAAGGAGAGGCAGACGATGACGAAGAGGCTGCCCAGGTACATGAAGGCGTACTGAACGATGAACCACCAGAAGCTGGCACGCCTGAAGTTCACCGGGATGTACTGACGCTGGAGGAGATGCACAGACATGGAAATGTTCATTAAAAAGGCATTGAGAAGTTTGCATTTATTCTTTGAAGGAAAAAAGGGCAAAGACATGATGAGAAGGAAAAGAATGGGGATTTCTTTTTTTGTGTATAGCACTATTCAAAAACATGATTTCAAAGTTTTTCCCAACAGCAAAATAAAATGAATACAATGAGGATAAAATAAAAGCATTAAAAAAATAACATTAACTAAAATACATTATTCAAAAGGATATACAAAGAATAAAACAATATAATTCATTATTAGACATGCACAGGAGGAATGTTATTCTATTAAGCAAAAGAGCCTAAACTAAGTCAAACAAATAGATGGAGGATTAAAACTATAGACATGCAGTCAACAGACCTGCATCAGATAGAGCAGCGCTGAGGCGCACAGAGTGAGAGGATAGATGGACTGGTACGTGGCCAAGGACAGAAATATAGCACTCAGCAACACATTTCCTGTAAAACAAACAGAAAGACACTCGGCATCCTGTCTCGTTTTTTCATTTACATTTCAAGGCTTTATTTATATTTGCACATTAGCTACAGTGTAGATATGGCAATGAAAAACTTAGGTCACAGGCTCCTCCAACAGTGCAACATATATATATAGGACATAGAACAAATAAAACAGATAAAATAGTGCAAGTAAATACAAAAATAAAATAATTGTTACAGCCATTTAAAAGCAGTTCCAATTATCTGTTTATAAATAAAGAAATTACTAAAATAAAACACGGTGATAGCTCCAGTATTGAAATAACCTTTTTTAAATTATTATTTCTTTTTAATAAGATTTTCTTTTCTTTTTTTAAGTAAAAAGGTTGCTGCCTACTCAGGTAGAAATGTTCGTTCTTGATCAAAGATTATACTATTATTTTGTATTCTATGTATGTTGATATTTTGTTAATTTTCTTCTTCTGTAATTTTGAAAAATATAAATTCATTTATTAAATGATTTTCTTTAGGTACTAATGATTGTACTAAACTCTTCAAGCTATTTCTTAGAGACTTTTGAAATGTTTGTGTCCTGTCTGATCCCACTCATTCTTTACCTTTGACTGTGGAGAGGATGAAGAGGGAGAGGACGGCGTTGTTCAGGCCGCAGGTCGACTTGGCCACGCAGGACAGGATGGTGAACGGGTTCAACAGGTAACTATGAGAAGAGACAACACAATCAAAAGAGAAACAGTGAGAGGATAAAACTACATGAGCACTGTTCTGATACTATAGGGAACTAATATGTGGACTAAGAAACTTTGGGGGAATATTGTTGCATTTCCTTCATGACTCTTGAGGTTGCTATCATCCCCAAATCGAATCATTTTCTACAGTCTTAACAAAACGCTTTTTTTTGGAATCTCTTCAAAATAAGTTGAAATCACGCCATAATCATTTAATATGTTTTTCTGTGATGTTGACAATTATGAATAAAAAAAGATCAATACTTCCAGTATCGTGAATCATATTGTACTATCTGTTTGAAAGAGCTAGCTATTTGAAATAAAACTTGAATTAAAAGAGTCAGAACCAATCAGCTTTAAAAGGAAAAGGCGTTTATTGGCATCTAGATGACGGACTGAAAGGTAGGAGAGATAACTCAAGCCGGTTTCATATTTGAATTTTGCTTCATCATCCTTTTAAACATGTGCATTAGTATTCTTCTTAATAGTATATAAAGTTCTGGAGAAAATAATTCTTGAATCTCAACTCTATATGTTTGGCAGACATTCCATTCCACTGTCTGTTGCATTCCAACACAGAGACATGTTGTCAGTAGTTTATAAAATAGAATTAAGATGTTTTAAGTTATACCTATAAATAGTAAAACCAGATAAACTAATAATGCTGCAGTGGTTATTTTTTTCCAGAGCTGAACATGGTTGGCTCCCTCAGCTAATGGGCATCCTTTAAATAAATACAATTTACCAATGACTTGGTCTCACAGCACAAAAGAACGTAAGGCCCCATAACCACCTGATCTGACATGTGACCATCTCTACAGACATAATCTGATATCTGACATATCTGGTGTTTGCTGCTTCGGTAGATGTTTAGTTTGTTAGTTGGTGTGTGGTACTTACAACATAGCGACCTTCAGAGGGATGTAGAACATTTCTTTGGGGCTTCTGATGAGCTCCAGACAGTCGAGGGGATAGCGATCGGCCTCCAAGGCATATTTCTGCTTTCTGAACTGAAACAGCGCATTAAATATGTTAAAGAAAATAAACACCAAACAACATACTGTATATCAAAGTTTCAGTACGATCAATTCATAAATAACAAGCCATGTAGCAGTGAAACAAGATTATATTTGTAACATATCTGTGTTAGTTAGCAGGGCTGACAATGTTGTTGAAATCAATAATTACACATTGGTCAGGGACTGAAGATGGATATAAACTAGCTCAATCTGACACAAATCATCTCTTCTCTTTTTGAGATTCATGTATTTTCATGCATGGTCCTTGTTTAATAAATACATAATAATAATAACATTCAGAAGATAAAATCAGTTTTGACAAACCATACTATTCTTATTTAATTTCACATTAATTCTGTATTCTTTATTATTTTTCTATGTATTTTTGAAGACATTTCAGTTTTCTTACCACTTGCTTGTTGTACTCCTTCACTGTCAGGTAGAGAGCCACAGCGGTGATCACATCTGCCAACTGCAGAGACAGAAAGACAGAATGATCAGCTGTGCTTCTGGAATATAAAACACTCTGCACTCCGAGAGCAAATATCTTCGCCAAGGCCAATGGTGCATTCATGTGCTTCCTGGATTGTCCCGTTAACTTCTGATGTGTTCATGAGCTCTAAGTCTTAAAGTGGAAATAACGTAGACGCTGCTAAGACAATGTGCTTACGTTCATTGCTCAAAAAAACTAAACAATTAATATCTTTGTTGTGTCGACTTTAGGGACAATTTGGATACATTTGCCGACTCAGGAACTGATTTTACAAGTTATTCCAACACAACATGAAAGCAGCAAAAATGCCTCATCTCAGAATGTTAATATTAATTAAACTTAAATAGTATCGGCCCTGTTTTACAGATATGCAAAAAACAAATGGTTTTTTTCTTTGCCCATGCAAAAGATTCCACAAAGTTTCATGGAAATTGAGCAAGGAATTTTTCTGTAATCCTGCTGACAGACAGACAAAATGGACTCAAAACATAACCTCCTTCATGGCGAAGGTAGAATTACCCATGTTTTTTCTTTTCAAATGATTTGAGGCAGAAAGAGCAGTTTAAGTTAAAATATCGTGCTGACTGCTAAAAAAGAAATCACACAAACAAAAAAGCGAAAGAGATAGAAATAGAGGAGAGTTAATTGGTATTCATACTGAGTCCGAAATAGACATTACATTACATTACATGTCACTTGTTAGACACTTTTATCCAAAGTGACTTACATACTCAATACTGTGGGCAATCCCCACAGGAGCAATTTGGGGTGAAGTGTCTCAGGGAGACAACGACATGCTGACTGTAGTGGGGTTTGAACCTGTGCTCCCCTGATCCGAACACCAACGCCCTACCCACTGCGCCACACGCCTCCTTCCTAGACCTTGGAAAAAAATAGATCATTTGTTTTTCACTCACCATAAATGTTATCTCTGCATAGTCCACCAAAAAGTGAAAGAGGTAAATGATGAGTGGGGTCTGAAGAGAAAAAAAAAGGACAGTTAGGACATAGCACAGGCTAGGGTTGACATTTTCACTATTTTATTACATTTTGAAGAGCATACAATTAAACAAGTAAACCAATTTATAAATAAGTATACGTGTGCATCTCTCACCTCATGGAAAACATCTCCAGAGTACGGCGAGACTCCCAAGTCAAGCAGAGCCAAACCTTCAACAACTGCAAACAAACACAACAGAGAAATAAAGCACACCAAAAGACACTTTCCTCGGTCTCTTCTCTCTGATAGAATCAGCTGCACAGCCCTTCTACAGTGATGCAACATCCTGTTACAGATGCCTAATAAACAATTCATGAAGGGACCACCACAGCTGTACAGGCCAAAACGCTAGATATACGTATATGTGCATTTAAACGTAAAAAAAACCAGAACAGATGCCAAAATATTTAAGCAATCCCTTCTTCACATCAAGACAGTCCACATTCCCAGGCTGCATGTTTGTTGATCTGATTATCTTCATCAGATCCATAATGAAGTAGGTTTCTTTAGTGCAATATTTCCTTGGTGAAATATTGCTAAAGTACTGCTGTTCCTTTACTAACAAGATGCCAAATAATGTATACATGCATTCATTTCAAGTAGATAGGACTGATGCTCTCTTCCTAATCTTTAAAAACAATGCACTGATAAACCACAAATAAGAAATCTGCTACTATAGCAAAAATGAGAATGAGGCCTTTAATAATTTGGAGCCCTGGTTTTCAATTAGATTTTTGTATATTCTATTGCTTTTAATTAACCTGCTCTTGCTTTTTGCTGCCTGCTTTTAATCTGTTTTACACTTGATTGCTTGGTGGTATCGCACTTGTTTAGTATGCACTTTGAACTAAACCCCTGTATGTAAGGTGCTATGAATAAAGCACTTTTGTTATTTAAAATATAAATGTTGCATGTAATATCTTATTACAAACTGGGTGCTTCTGGCAGCTTTCATGAATGCACATTGCACACACAGCAAAATCTACAGTAGTTTCCTAAGATCTATATTAACAGACAGACAGTATGAATCCTTTCAAAATGCAAATATTCGAGTGAAGTATACTTTAAAATGAGGAAGGTTTTCCACCTCTCATCTCTTGCTGTTTACTGCACCATCATCTTTGAACCAGTGAATATAATGAAGAATGTCCATTAAAAAGTGGAAGATCACAACGCAGCTCTTATATTCCCCTCAATAACGTCTAAGAGGGGTTTCTGAATATGAACGGGAGATACTGGTTCTTGGTAGCTAAACCGGTTACTGGCTTCACTCAATCACCAGCTAGCAGCGCCGAGGAGAGGAGGCTACCGGAGCGGGGTCTCAGGGAGAGAATTACCCCCCAAAAAGGCGCTAAAGCCCGCTTACCTCTCTTCCAGGCTGTCAGCGGAGATACCACCTCCACTCTTTCCGAAATTAGGTCCGCTAAACTGGATCTGTACAGGGCTGCACGGATAGTAACAGCTACAATCAAAAGTAGTGTCAAAGGAGCCGCCATCTTGACAAGGAAGGAAACCCACTCCGCCCTGCGAGGTGCACGATGGGAAATGAAGTATTTTTGTTTGAAAGAAAAATGAACGGAACTACATTATAAAAATAAAGACTGATAGTAAACATATATATATATTAATAAGTATACACATAATAAGCATCATACATCATATTCACAAATAATAATACGGTATTCTTAATGGATGACTTTTTCTACATTTGAAACCTTCTCGTAGTTAAATAATCACAACATTCATATTCACCAGTAACCTCTGCAGTCGAAGAGCTTGTTACGGCAGGTTTTACAAAGCGGAACGATAAATGCTGAACATGTTTTCAACCCGGGACCCTTTGTGCGTTGGATCAAAACACAAAGCACTGTAAAGTTAGACGGATTCCACCACTGGTTTACCGCTAAGGAGAGCTGCTATTTTATTAAAACACAATTATGAATTTTTAGCAACGAACACGAACACATTAAGAGACCGAGGAATTCCCAGACATTATGAAACCTAACGTTTTTAAAAAGGACTGAATAGAACAATATTCAACAAAATAGCTAACAACTGTTTCCTTACCTTTGTTAAATTATTGTTACACAAAATATATGCAAATCAATTGTAACTGCTATTCAGAATTGAAATATTGTAGACTTTGACGATGATGAGTTCTAGGCCACATGCAGTCAACCATTGGTTTGTGTCCTCAGTTACAGGACTGTGTGTGTGTGTGTGTGTGTGTGTGTGTGTGTGTGTGTGTGTGTGTGTGTCCAGCTGCATAAAGATTTCAGCTCAGTGTAATGTTACATTTGAGTGAAGACTAATCAATCATGTGACTGCTAAAACATCCATTGCATGTGTTTCTGCTGTAAACCACAGTGTAAGAGTAGTTGTTTGTGTCAGACGTGGATGGAGCATTGATCGGTTTGGATAGAGCCATGGATGAGATGGAGCAGACATCTCAACACCATGACGACAACTCATGAACCTTCAGCCTCTCGTGTTCAAGGCGATGGATGAACCTTAACACTTCAATGGACTTGACTGAAATGGCATAATGACTGCTGCTAAAAAGATTTTCATAATTCAATGTAGATTTGAGAGAGGGAGGGGCATGGGGTGGGTGCTGTATGCAGATGCAAAGAAACAATATTTACATGCACACTTCTAAAGATGTAGTGGTAGGGAGAATATTCACCATATTTTGTACTGGCTTGTATTCACTTCTTACAGCTATAGCCTGGTAATCTGGCTTCCCTGTCAGCAGACTAATGGTATGCTGGTTGGCCCTCTGCCTTGGAAGAAAAGTGGAAGAGAGACTTGGCAAAAAGTGTCAAGGAGCAGCGTGGGGGAGGAAGGGAACTGAGGGAGAGGAGGGGGAGGGGGGGGGGTAGGGTCGAAGCTACAGAGTTGAAATCATTTCAGATATAAACATAAAATGGTTAAATATTTGTATTGCCTGTTGCTTTTTGGATTTGACCACCTGACATAAGGACCAATCGATATATATATATATATATATATAAGACAGAGTCAACGAGCAAACACAGAGCAGGAAGCACATCATGATTGGCTCTTCAGTTTGCACACTCAAAGTCATTCGTGCTGCAGAAGAACAGATGAAACGCTGAGAAGCTACCTGACTGAAAAACAAGGCTTCTGACACTTTGTCAAGATATGGTACATACCGACACGTCACGTCCATTGCCAAAAATGGATAGGCAAAGATTTCTCCTCTATACATATTTAAAGCTTTAAAAAAAAAAGTGAGTACAAAGCAGATTCAAGGTAAGGCTTCAGATCTTCTACAAATATTTTAATTGAAAATGATCAAGACAACTACCAACCTTTGAGAAGAAATCCATGCCTACACACAGCAATTTCAACACCTTCTTCATCCAACTTGTTGGCTCGCTTAGGCCACATTTACACGGGAACGTTTGCGTTTATGCACCGTATGCGTTTTCAAAAAAGTCTTCCGTTCACACGCATTAGATTCATTTAACGTGTCTGTTCAGACGAGACCGCTGGAAACGCTGTAGTACATATGCCGGGACTGTAAGTGGCGCTGTAACTTCCGCCACAAAATACACCAAAAGCAGCGAAGAAGACCCCGGAGTATGGTTGCCATGGTTGCCCTTCTGTTTATGCCCCGCGGTGGATTTAGCAACATGTAGTAGTTCATGTAATTCTCCATGTCCACTTGTTGCTGATGGTTGTGGTAGAGGAGCTGTAGATTTTGCACTAACATCTGTAGCATGGTCGAGCTGTAGATTTTGTACTAACATCTGTAGCAGTAGCACTAGCAGTAGCTACTGACAGTAGCTACTGACCATGCTACAGCAGTGAGCAGCAGAGGTGGGGAGAGGCTATCTATCGGGAAATGTTCGTATAGAGGCTACACGGAGCCGTTTGACCCCCCAGAGAGTTCCGTTTGCAGATCTATCCACCTTGGGACCCGTTATCGTTTGCATGGTCCGTTTCTATCGTTTTGTTACGGCCGCGTGTAAATGAAAGGGCTATACGTAAGAGAAACTATGCAGATACAACCTGTTTCGTTCTCGTGTAAATGGTCTCCCTTGCAGCTGTCCAGTGAGATTCCCCACACATTGCTTTTCCTGCAGTCTACCAAAGTAAATCGTTTTTAGAGAATCATTATCAGAAGTTATTTCAAAACACTGGATAGTGGAACCAACTGACGGTATTGTCAAACATATCAACTATTACACACAAGTTTTTTGTGCTCGACTGACAGATTCATCTGGATATGCAACTCCCTGGATAATAACAAACCCGTTTTTGGATAATTGGAAGGCTCCAAATGTGTAATATATTCTGGATTAGAATTTAGCTGTTTTTTCAATCCAGTTTTACAGCAATAATGTTTGTGACAGTTTGACCGCATTGCTAACCTCATCACCCTGTCATCTGGTCTCAACACTTCTATCCCATCTCCAAAAAAATATGAAGGCAACTTTGTTACTACTATTTTAACTTCAATTAGTTATTAAAAAAGGTGAGATACATTTTGCTCTGCTTCATTTAAAACTCACACTTTTGACAGCCCCTCGAACATCCTCCACAAAAGTGGAAACCTCAGAGTCTTGGGCTAAAAACACTCCGTCAAAGAAGCCTGGCTCTTCACTCCTATAAGAAAAGGAATTATAGATAACCACTCTAGTTACAAATTGAACATAGTAATAATAATAATAATTATATTTAAAGAGCATCTTTCAAAACAAGGTTATAAAGTCTAACAAAAATATTTTAGATTCAACAGCTGTAGTTTTAACAGGAAAGAACTATAGCAATCCCAATGTCAAATTAAAATACAAGGACATATATTAAGGACAAGTGCTGTTTCAATGTTAAAAACGTACTGGTTTGTTTTCTGGAACCTGTAAAGTTTCCTATTGCCATCTACTGAAACAGCCAACATTTCAGGGCTACAGGTTGGACAGACATATGGCTCTTTACCCAGAAGTTTATTCTCTTCAAATGTGCAGTACACATACTGCAGAAAGCTTCTCTGAAAAGCATCTGCATTCACCTTGCCAGTCTGAAATAAAAATACATTATATATGTTATCATATTTGTTATCATATCTCGCTCATCCATCCAAAAAAAGGTGTTAGTTAGATCATAGATATAGCTGTAATTTAAACTAGCCTAATATTATAAGTGAATTAAAGTTTAGACCAACATCAGCATTATGAGGGAAAGGTGTGATTCAAATGTTTTGGTATAGGGCATTGATGTTATTCCCTGAGGAGAGCCGGTGCTGAGAGTGCGGGTGGAGGAGTGATGGGGGCCAAGTCTCACACGCTGGGGGCGGTTAGTGAGGAAATCTTTGATCCAGGAACAGGTGGGTGGGGGAAGGCCTAGGTTTGATAGTTTGCAAACTAGAATGTCGGGGATGATTGTGTTGAACGCTGAGCTGTAGTCAATAAAGAGCAATCTGACGTAGCTCCCACGATGCTCCAGGTGGCTCAGTGCAGAGTGGAGAGCTATGGCTATGACGTCCCAGTCCCCAGTTGTCGTGTCACACCCCCTGTAGTTGGTTATGTTCTTAATGCCCTGCCACACCTGCCTAGGGTTGTTGCTTGTGAGGTGGTCCTCAATCCTTTTTTTGTAGTCTGTCTTGGCTTTTGTAATTCCCCTCCTCAGGTCGCCTCGAGCAGCACTGTAGAGAGCTCTGTCCCCTGATCTGAAGGCTGAGTCACGGGCCTTGAGCAGCATGCGGACCCGGCCAGTCATCCAGGGTTTCTGGTTTGGGAAAACCCTGATGCTTTTTACCACAGTGACATTGTTGATACAGTATTTAATGTAGGACAGTACCGTCTCTGTGTTGTTTGCCAGGTCCAGGTGCTGGTGTTCAAATACATCCCACTGGGTGTGTTCAAAGCAGTCCTGAAGCTGAGCAAGTGCATCCTCAGGCCAGATTGTAACAGACTTTCTTGTTGGACTTGTTCTCCGTCTAAGGGGGTTGTATGCCGGGGTCAGTAGCAGGGAGATATGATCTGACAGGCCAGGTGGGGGAGAGGTATGGCTCTGTATGCGTGCTTGATGTTGGAGTACACATGATCAAGAGTGTTTTTCCCTCTGGTCGGACACTTGACATGCTGGTAGAATTTAGGCAGGACAGATTTTAGTTTGGCCTTATTGAAATCTCCTGCAACAATGTGAACGCCACCGGGGTGAGCCTGCTGTTGGTGGTTGATGGGGTTTAGCAGGAGGGAGAGTGGAGTGTTGACGTTAGCTTGTGGTGGTATATACACAGCCGTGACAATCACTACAGTTAGCTCTCTAGGTAGAAAGAACGGGCAGCATTTAACCGACATGAACTCCAGGTCAGGAGAGCAGTGATGGTCAATGATGATGCCGTTATTACACCAGTTGTTATGTACGTACATACAGAGACCCCCCCCTCGGCTCTTACCAGAGTCCTTGTCTCTGTCCCAGCGGAGTAGTGTGCGGCCTGCTCGCTGCACGCTAGCATCTGAGATTTGTGGGTGAAGCCAGGTCTCAGTGATCACAAGTAAACAACAGTCACAAACGTAGGTGTTTCCGGCGAGTTGTAATACCAGATCGTCCGTTTTGTGCACTATGGACCTGGCGTTGGTGAGGTACATACTCGGCAGGGGAGGTTTGTGTGGCTGATTCCTTAGCCTCAACAGGAGACCGGACCGGCAGCCCCGCTTTTGCTTCCTCTCTCTCCGCCGTCTATGCCGCCTGCCTGGCCCGACAACAATCCACGGGGATTCCGGTGATCTCGCTACCTCGTCTGGGATGTTGTGATTGCGGTGGAATTCCCTAAGAATGGGAAGCTTGTGTTGGAAGCCAATATCCAGTAGTTCCTGACGATTGTATCGTATGTTCTCATAAGCGAACACAGTCATATAACATATATAAACACACAGTAAATAGCACAAGACGTGATCTGTCTCTTCAATTTGTGTCAACCACAGACCTTATTTCGAGCTATTTTCCAAAATCCTATGGAGAAATTGCAATTCTTTTTGGCGAAGGAACCGGAAGTGGTAAAATGCTAACTTACTTCCGGATTTTAGGACGCGTCACTGTGGCACTCTATACACACTAATGTTACAATCTGAAGAAGGCCTCTTTACCAAGCTCCAAACTAAGTAAAATATCTCAAAAAGTGTAAAAGATATGAAAAATATAAAACAAGTTGAATAGCTGAATGTCTTGTGATAATTTTAAAGTTGGAATGAAGTCTCGAGCTCTAGTAAAAGAGGATTTGAAGGCTCCTCCCATTGAGTTACATGTTAAAAAAAGTTTAATAAGCTGAATATTTCAAAAAGTATAACATATTTTGAAAAAGTTGAAAGTTTCCCATCATGTGCTGAACAGGCTGAATATTATTAGAGTATAAGAATAAGAAGATTAAAGAAACAGAAGAACTGTAGTGGAATGCTCTAAACCAGTGGTTCTCAACTGGTGGGTCGCGACCCAAAAGTGGGTCGTGGACCCGTTTCGAGTGGGTCGCAGACATGAGTGAAGAAACATGATTGACAGGTCACAGAACAATGGGGGCTATCTACCCTACCCACAATTTAAAGTAATTCACACAGACTATCTCCTCTTTGCTCTTCTCTCTGTGTGGAGCAGCAAGTTCAGCTGTCAGAACTAAGTGAAACACAAACAATGGCATCAAATATTTTAATATGTCGGGTAGCAATAGATTTATTTATTTTCTTAGAGTGTACCAGAATGTGTTGTTTATATGGTAGTATTTCTAAAAATCTCCTGGGGGACAATCCCCCCAGACCCCCCTTCTGGGGTTGGGTTTTCAGCATGTGTGCCTTTTTAATGTTATACAGTTCAGCTTTGATTCCATCATCTCATTAAACCTTTTTTAAAACCATACTTTAGTTCTGTTAAGGGATATATGCACTGTACTTCACTTTAATTAATATTGTATGTTGCAAAGCGTATATATTACAGCACAATTTGTTTTTGAATAGATTTCAGTGGTTCGAAATTTCGGGTCGTGATCTATTGACAAAGGAAAAAGTGGGTCCCTTGGCCGGACCAATTGAGAACCACTGCTCTAAACAGCATTCGCACTAAAGAAGGGACAGTGATGTCATGATAGTATGTGATGACATCACATACTGCGAGCCATTGCAACCATGGTGATCTTCAAAGCCTCGGAATGCGATGACATCACGGACTAAGAGTTGCAGCCTGAGGTGAAGTGAGATTCTTCTTCAGCTTAACAGAAAATACACACAGAAACACCAGCGAAGACTGATTTACCAAACACAGGATCATTTCCTCTCACATAAAGTCACAATGAAGCCTTCCAACGACCGTGAAGCCAGGATTGTTGCCCAGCAGGAGGAGATAGACAGGTACAAAATCAATGAGAAACATCTGATGAACCAGAACGCAGAGCATAAAAGGAAGATCTCTCCCATGGTTACAGATGAGTTTAATCTGAAGAAAGAGAAGAAGAAAGCTGACCTGAAGTGTACTGTCCAAAATCCGACGCGCGCATTACAAATAATGAGAGAGAAACTGCACGAGTCGAAAGTTGAAAACCGGCATCTAAAAGGTGACGTAGCGAGTGTGAAGAAAGTCTCTGACGAGAACGCTGTCTTCTACAAAGGAAAGTATCTGGAGTATAAGAACAAATTCGGTGTGGAGAAGTCTCTCCGCCAAGAGAAGGAGAAAGAAGCAGAACACTTTGGAAACCATTCAAAGGAGAACAGGAGGCTGAACATGCTGGTGGAGAAACTGTCTCATGATGTGGAGGAGCTGACCGGCCATAAAAACTTCAGCATAAAAAAAATTGAAGAGCTGGGACAGGTTATTAGGAAGAAAAAAAAGGATATGGCAGCCGTTGAGAAGGATGCAAAAAACTCTAATGAGTCTGCATTCAAATACAAACTAAACTGTCAGACTCTGAAACCTTACTGTGGAAAAGTGAAGGTTTTGACAAAGGAGTGTGAGAGACTGTCAGAGGAGCAGAAGAAACAGAGAAGACAGGACGATGTTAACAACAGCACAATACAGGATTTAAAAAAAACGGTAGTGCACTTGGAAAATAAGTATGCAAACCAGGAAGTCGACATGGAAATAGTGCGGGAAGAAAACAGAGTCCTCATCAAGGCAGCAGAAACGCACGAAGAAGAGACGAAACACATGGAGTCCGAAGTGAAGAAGATGCGTGATCTGGAGATTAAACTCCAAAATCAAGAGAGGAAGACGAAGCATGCAACTGACGCCCATTTCCAAGAAATCATCAAACTGAGGGCCGTTAACGTGGAGCTGGAGAAGACGCTAACGCAGATGATCACCCATGCTGACGGAGTGGAGGCGGAGAGAAACCTCCTCCTCCAAAATCAAGAGAGGATGTTGAAGCATGCAACTGACGCCCATTTCCAAGAAATCATCAAACTGAGGGCCGTTAACGTGGAGCTGGAGAAGACGCTAACGCAGACGATCACCCATGCTGACGGAGTGGAGGCGGAGAGAAACCTCCTCCTCCAAAATCAAGAGAGGATGTTGAAGCATGCAACTGACGCCCATTTCCAAGAAATCATCAAACTGAGGGCCGTTAACGTGGAGCTGGAAAAGAAGCTAACGCAGACGATCACCCATGCTGACGGAGTGATGGCGGAGAGAAACCTCCTCCTGAGAAAGCAGCGTGAGGACAAGGCGCAGCAATCTAAGCTCAAGGAAATGATTGATCAAAAGGATAAGAAACTCCAAGATAAGACCTGCGAGGCCGAGGTTCAGAAGGTGCAGATGGCCAGGTTGATTGAGACGCTGGAGAAAGAGCTGCAGAAGAAGAAGCGTGATCTGGAGATTAAACTCCAACATCAAGAGACGGAAGACGAAGCATGCAACTGACGCCCATTTCCAAGAAATCATCAAACTGAGGGCCGTTAACGTGGAGCTGGAAAAGACGCTAACGCAGACGATCACCCATGCTGACGGAGTGGTGGCGGAGAGAAACCTCCTCCTGAGAAAGCAGCAATCTAAGCTCAAGGAAATTATTGATCAAAAGGATAAGAAACTCCAAGATAAGACCTGCGAGGCCGAGGTTCAGAAGGTGCAGATGGCCAGGTTGATTGAGACGCTGGAGAAAGAGCTGCAGACACGAGGGGATATGGAGGTGCAGCTGCAGCTGAAACTCAACCAGGCGAGAAGCAGCCAGGACGCGGACAGACTCACCATCAAAGAGTTTGAGGCCCATAAAGGGGACATGGATAATTATATCAAGAAACATCAAGAGGCGTTCATCCCGAGGATCGAGGGGCTCCTGAACAACTTCTCTTCACGGGAGTTGCACCACTTCGGCTTGCACTACAATTGCCAGTGCAAAGAGCAGATGGCAAGCCTCGGGGTGTACCAGCCGGAGTATGACAACCTGAAGGAGGAGAACCAGATAGTGGAAAAGACCCTGAAGATGGACAACTTGAAGACTAAAGAGAAACTCAGGAATTCAGAGTCTGGAGACATGAACCAGCTGGCGCCCTTGCCCCCCAACTCCCAAAACCCCCGATCCCCCGCTGAGGAAACCGCCAGGGACCAGGCTGTCTCCGGCTACAAACCTCAGCCAAATCGCGTCCTCATCAAGTCCAAGTGTTTGCCAAAAATCCTAAAGACCGTCCCCCTGCCTTCCATCGGCACCGTGAAACTCCTGCCTCACCCGCCTCCCAAACCGCCGCAGCATCCTGCACCGCGCCGCAGAAGATAAGTTATCGGATCCACCGAGAACTGGGTCGCCTTAAGAGCAGTGGGCACAAAGTTTTAGTTTCAGTGTTATTTAGTTAAATTGGTTTTAGTTCGTTTTTAGTTTAAAGTTATTATAGTTAATAGTAAGTCAGACAAGTTTTGATTGATAGTTTTAGTTAGTTGTTTTAGTTTAGTTAGTTCGTTTTTATTGTTAGTTAGGTTAGTTAAATTGGTTTTAGTTAGTTTTTAGTTTAAAGTTATTATAGTTAATAGTAAGTCAGTGAGTTAAGACAAGTTTTGATTGATAGTTTTAGTTAGTTGTTTTAGTTTAGTTAGTTAGTTTTTAGTGTTAGTTAGGTTTTAGTTAAGATTAAAGTTATTATAGTTAATAAGTTATAGTTTATAATAAGTTAGTGCATTTTCAATTAGTTATTAAGATAAGTTTTAGTTGATAGTTTTAGTTTTTATAAGATATGCCTTCCATCGGCACCGTGAAACTGCTGCCTCACCCACCTCCCAAACCGCCGCAGCATCCTGCACCGCGCCGCAGAAGATAAGTTATCGGATCCACCGAGAACTGGGTCGCCTTCAGAGCAGTGGGCACAAAGTTTTAGTTTCAGTGTTAGTTAGTTAAATTGGTTTTAGTTAGTTTTTAGTTTAAAGTTATTATAGTTAATAGTAAGTCAGACAAGTTTTGATTGATTGTTTTAGATTATTATGTTAAGTTATTATAGTTAATAAGTTATAATTTATAATAAGTTAGTGAATTTTCAATGAGTTAAGATAAGTTTTAGTTGATAGTTTTTGTTAGTTTATATAGTGTGTTAGTTTTTATAAGATAAGTTTCCTTTTATTTATTTAAAACATGTTTTTCTTTTTTTAGTTATAGTCATAGTGTGGTCTTCCAAAGTATTACGTCTGCTAAGGACATTTTAGGTTCAGTAAGTCTACTTTTGTCAGTAGGGATGCTCCGATCAGGGTTTTTGGGGCCGATCACCCGAATCAGAATCGGCCGATACCGACGTTACATATATCAATCACACTGTTAGCGAAATATAACAACGTCTTATAACTCGAGTATAAGCACTGTTATAACTTGGAGTAATGACATTTCATCACGAGTGTAAATGGATCACATACCAGTACTTAATAAACCTTAGAAAACAGAAATGTATGTGTCCAAAACTGAATTATTTATATACAGGAACCAACCTTTTCACATCAAAGATATTCATCAGTTTTCAGGTTTTTAACTCTTTCAATAGCAGTTTATTATCACAATGCCACTAGATTTTTTTGTATTAAATACCATGGGGATTTATTTTTCACAATCTGGTATAAATATATATATACTAGACCCTCCAGAAAAACGCGATTATGCGATCGCATAATTTACCGCATAATCAGCAAAATGGCGCAGATTTGTAAAAGGGTGCATATTTATTAAAAGGGCGCATAATCCCCGCATTTTTCCACACAAAGTTGAATTAAAAAAAAGTGAACTCGTCTTGACGTGAAGTAGTGATGATGACGCGACGTCATCAGCTCGCGCATCACAGAAGGTGAGGTGTGAGGTGTGATTGTGATTATATGATTATATGATTATGTGATTATGTGATTATGTGAGGTGTGATTATGAGGTGTGATTTGTGCCAAAGAGCGAACTCACTGAGCAGACAATCGTGTCGGTCGTCGTCTACCATGCCGTGAACTATGCCGCGAGAGAAGTAACGTGACACTCTCGTCGCCACCCCTCTCGTCTGAGAAGCTACGTGACGTCTGCGTCTGAAGTTACTTTACTTAGTTATCACCAAATAACCCAGTAATGTTACAGCTACGTTGCTGTTCAAGCTAGACTCTATTTCAATATAGTTTTGGTATTAAAATAATGTTACACCTCTTGTATGCCCTGAATGCAAAAAACAACCACAGACAAGAATATATATTTTTAATTATCAAAATTATAACAAAGGCTGAAAAAACAGGAGAAGCCTGTCTTCCCTTGGTCTCCAGGAGAAAACTGTATATCACCAAGTTTTCATATAGTTTTGTGTGTGAAATAGATCGCTGCAGTGAACACGACTTTATGTATTTGTTTATGGTTTATTTGATTTGGAGGGATGCAGTATACGGGTCATTCCAGAATTGGAGGACAATTTAGACAACAACATTTTTGAAAAATGAACCTTTCATTTTATTATTTTTTGTTATGTATTTAGGAAAAACAGATAATAAACCATCAAAAAAAGTGATTTGCCCAGCTAAGGCATCAAATGTATATTTTCCAATGAAGAATTAACCCTGTTACTCTAATTATAGTAACAGGGTTGCAAGTAACAGGGTTGAAAATCAATGCTAATTTTAGCTTTTACCTCAGGAATTAATGCTAGCTGCACAATGTAATGCTATTGTCAAGGAATGGACACACTTAGATATTTAACTAAAGAAAGATACATTTGAAATTAATTTGTTTTAGTCTCATAATTTGAGTAACAGGGTTGCGTTTGTATGAGTGCCACACTCCTTCAAGAGTGACAAGATTGGAAATATATTACAAATAAAAGAGAGGACTTAGTTTTGGTCTACCCATGGTAGTAGCACATGGCTTGCTGATGTCCTTTCCACTGTGTCATGCGACAAACAGTTTTTTCACTTCCTCTGCCAAGCTAAAAGGTTTCGGTAACAGGGTTGCGCGTATGTTGAGGGACACACCTTCTGTGCAAAATTACTGTTATTTAAAATGTGTTTATGATTTAACAAATTGATTTTACCATTACAAGACATATATATCAATAGAATAATACCAAGAAAGAGGTGAAATGTGCTAACGTGACGGCCATTTTGGTGTTGGTGACGTGTGCAATACCAGAGTTGTAGTTCATTCATTGAGAGCTTCACACAAAAAAATGTGTTACTTCACAGTTTTACGACACATTTTTTTTTTTTTTGACTTGCAAAATTATCTTTTAAATTGACAAACATCATATGTGTAATTCGTGGCACAATTCAAACGGGATCGAAAGATAATCTTTCTCTCTCCATAGAGTGGCGAAGTCCCTCCCACTTACTTCCGGGGTATGGGACCTTATTTCGGAAAAATTATGCATTGAAGTCAATGGGGAGAGAAAACTTATCTTTCGATCCCGTTTGAATTGTGCCATGAATTACACATATGATGTTTGTCAATCTTAAAAAATCATTTCCATGTCAAAAAAGTCACAGTTTGTCGTAAAACTGTTGAAATATAAGACTATGAAAAATACGTAACTAGAAAGACTACAAATCACAGGGTCGCGTAAGTGATGTCACAATTGTTTACCTCCACCATTCAGATACCTAAGATCAGCGCAATATAGATATAATCTATCTATATGGCGCTGGCTAAGATAAGATAACTTTAACAAGATGCCTGTGTGCTTAGTACCAGGTTGTTATTATACCAGCAATGGGTCTTGCTCGTTCTTTTGCTTCCCGTCTGATGAAACGACCAGGAGTGGCTTGATCAAGTTAGCTACCTAGCTAGTAGCTAGCACGTTAGTTAGCATTACAGCCTTGTCATTTTTATTAGCCTTAACATGAAGTAACATTAAGTAACCCAAAATGTTAAACAGTAAGAGTAGTAGTCATATTTCGTGAACCCTTTGAATAGTACTGTCACCGGTGTGATCATTCTATAATACACCATTTAATTCCGGGGGAGAAATGCTAACGCTAACGTTAGCATCGGCGATCTTTTCTACTTCATGCTATCTGCACAAATGGTTGACATTAAACATTAAAACGACCAGGCAGTTCAGAGAGAATCAAAGGAAGGCAGGCAGGCAGCTTTGCATGACATTCTTCAGGACGTGTTTCATTGTGGTGATAGTCAATCGTTTGTTGACAAGACAGTAGTGACGGCCATCTTGGTGACGTGTGTGGTTGACCAGAGATGTAGTTCATTTAGCGTTTCACACAAACAATGTGTTACTTCACAGTTTTACGACACATTTTTTTTGTTTTGACTTGCAAAATTATCTTTTAAATTGACAAACATCATATGTGTAATTCGTGGCACAATTCAAACGGGATCGAAAGATAATCTTTCTCTCTCCATTGACTTCAATGCATAACTTTTCCGAAATAAGGTCCCATGGAGGTCCACCGGAAGGGGAGGGACTTCGCCACTCTATTCTAGTGTTTACGTTTGAAGCTGTGTGGAAGGCAGTTACCGAGATATACAGTATAGTTACCGTGACCACAGTTAGCGAAACGCGAAAGAGTTCAATTTACAGTAAGTAGTGCTTCATTATAATATATCTAAATACAAAAATAATAATATATAAAGTTAAATACCTAAGATATTTTTGGTGTTATATTAAGTTAAATACTAAATCGGTTTGCTTTATGTATACTCTGTCAGATCAATTGTTTTTCAGCTACGGCTAACGGTAGGCGACTTATCGTTTATGATACTCAAAATATTCCTTTTTCTAATGTTATTACCTTCTCTGGAATCAGTGGTGTAAAGCAACAAAGTAGATTTATTCAAGTATTGTAGGCCTACTTAAAGGTACTTGTACTTTACTTGAGTATTTTAATTTGTTTGCTACTAAACTTCTACTCAACTAGTTGTTATTGTTTGAACTATGTAGCAACGGTAGGAACTGCTTCGATAGCGTTTTTGATTACAGATTTGAAAACATCCGTTGCTTGCTTTAAAAGTAGGCACTTCAAGTAGCAATTCATTATGTCAAACCTTGGAAAGTATCTAGATATCCCTGCCCTAATACTTTTCTTCTTTCGTATGAGTAACATTTTGATTGCAGGACTTTGACTTGTAACAGAGTATTCCTACACTGCCTTCCCTTGTCTGCCTAGAATTGCCTCAATAGCTCTGAATTGTTACCGTCCTAAGTATCTACTGTAAAAAATAACTATAATTATAATAATCTAATGCTTCTTTCAGACATGGATAAAATGGGGCAGAAGACAGTCCTAAATGAACAAGGTGGTTGAGAATAAGATCAGAGAGCATGTTAAATGTTGCAGTGGCATTAATTATGACTGGAATGATTGCTGACTTCATATTGCAATTATCTTTCCTCCATTCTCAGAGACAGAGAGCGATGAAGAAGAGTACAATGAACTCAGGAGAAAAGACTATGAGGTAAATGACAGACGCAGCAAGACTTTTGACAAATACCAGAAGGCTAGACCCCATCTCCCCTGTTTTAGTCTCTCTTCACTGGCGACCTGGTCTGTTTTACAATTTGTTTTAAGATTTCACTGATTACTTTTAAAGCTCTTAACGGGTTGGCTCTGATTACCTCCCTGACTTGTTGTGCCCATATGAGCCTGTCCGCAGTCTCAGATCCTCTGGTAGGGCTCTGCTGGCTGTTACCAACACCAGGCTAAAAACAAAGAGTGGTCGAGCTCCGCAGCTCTGGAACTCCCTGCAGAATCAGTGACATCTTTTAAATCACTTCTTACAACTCATCTCTTCATTAAAGCCTTCAATGATGCCACTACTTGATTTTACTCAACATCCATGTTTTATTTGTTTTCCTTTGTTTTTTCCATTTGAGTATTGCTGCTATTGTTAAAACGCTGTATACTTGGTGGTGGGGATTGTATTATTATACCTGCTACACCTGCTGTTCTACTTCTCGCAGCAATGCTCTGTGTGAGAAGATTAGGGGGGGGGGGGGGGGGTAGATCAGAGGACGTCTCTGATTGCTGCCAGGGTTTAACTAAATGTTTCCATAGAGTGAAGCGAAGCTATACTGTGCTGGTGTTCCTATGTGTTCAACATAATCTCAATTGAATGAAAATGATCAATTTAACATAACGTGTTAATTCTTCCCTGATGACCCCCTCCCTCTCATTAATGAGCTGCAACTCTCTTTTGCCCCTCATCCTTCCATCCACAGGAGTCTCTAAAGACCGGCAGGTCAAAGGCTAAGAAGTTGACGGAAGCCTGTCCTTAAAAAGAGGGTACAAGTGGATCTGGTTAAATATGACTTTATAGACGTGAATTACCTCTCTGAACAGTACCAGAAGAAGTTTGAGGAGACATCCGAGAATGCCAGAATATCGTGAGCAGCAGTGGATTCCTCTGTCATTGTAATTTAAGACTGGATACAATATATTGATCTAATGTTGTAATCTTGTCTCCGTTATCAGTTCTGAAAGACAAGGCAAGGCCAAACAGGAGATGTATTCTACCAATGAGGAGTTCACCGATAAAATAAGGACTTTTAAAAGGTAGGCTTATGCTAACATTGTGAATTTAACATAAATACAGTATGTGTACATCTGCCCCACGCTGTATGTGAAACAGTGGAGGAAGAAGTATTCCAACCCAGTCTCACGGCATTTCGTGTTATAGTCACGAAATTAATTTAATCTATTGATTCGTGTTCACCAACACGATTTTCGCATTTTTTTTCGTGTCACACAGAACGATTTTAAAAGCAATGTATTTCTATTGGTAGTATGTTTCGTGCCTGCACCACGTCTTTTTGTCCGGTCGGGTCTTGGAAGACCAGAAGCCGTGTGGTTCATAAAAACATGTTCTTACTCAATATCTTACCCTAAGCCTAACCCTATCCCTTTTTATTTTAAATTGTATAATGTCTGAGTTTTGTTGCCGTCAGTGAGGAAAAGAAATGGCTCAGAGCCTCAGAATACTGAAATCTGTATTTTATGTCATCTTTTTTTCCTTCTAATTTGTTATTATTTGGTGCAGGCACGAAACATACTACCAATATAAATACATTGCTTCTAAAATCGTTCTGTGTCAGAATACTTAAATCTGTAATTTTTTTTATTTAAATAATTTGACTCTTGTGACTTAAAGAGTAAGTCCACTAGATACCTTTTTAGAGATGCATTTTGTTAAAAGCAGCTAAAGCTTTTCAATAAATGTAGTGGAGTAAAAGTACAATATTTCCCTTTGAATTGTAGTGGGGTAGAAGTACAAAGTAGCAACAAATTGAAATACTCAAGTAAAGTACAAGTGTCGCAAAATGATTCTTTAGTACAGTACTTCAGTAACGTGACTTTTCACCTCTGCCCATGGTGTGTATGCAAACAGATATGAACCATTAGGTGCTTGGAAAAGGTTTTATAAATAAACACGAGCTGTTTCAGACATACTCATCTGCACTGAACATAGATCCAAACGTACTCTTTCTTCTTCATAGGGAGCCTCCCATGTTTGATGAGATCTGGCCTGAATATAACAGATACCTGAACATCCTGTTGAAGCGGCCGCCTTCAGAGTGGCAGAGGCTCTGAGAACTACAGACCTCAGAGAGCCAGCGAGGGTGCAGGGTAAAGTGTTACAACTAAGTGAATCAACATCAGTTACAATATGAATAAGGTATTATTTAAGGTATACTTTTTTTTAAATCCCCTGACTTTGGTTTGAAATCATCCCTGATCACAGACTCGGAGGGAGGTCTGGACTCCAGTGCAGGTGGAGTCGTCCCCCCCCCCCCCACACTGACACGCTGTAAGGACACATCAACGCTCACATCCACCACAATCACCGCTGCAAGTGTTGGTCTAACCCTATGCTGTGGTTCAGTGTTTCATTCTCAAAGATTTCAAAGGCTTTATTGTTATATACACAGAAGCTACAGTGCAGATATGGAAAATATCCTAAGTGCCAAGCTCCTCCAACAATGCAACATAATGTATACAGTGGAGGAAATAAGTATTTGATCCCCTTGCAGAACATGTGTCAGTACTTGGTGGAGAAAGCCTTGTTGGACACACAGAGGTCAGACGCTTCACGGTTATATGCAAATACATTTTCATCTTTTATATAATGTCAATTTCTGGATTTCTTTTGTATATTCTTACTCTCGCTGTTCAAATAAACCTACCATTAAAATGATAGATTGTTCATTTCTCTGTAAGTGGGCAAACTTACAAGTCTGCAAGGGATCAAATACTTATTTCCTATATAGAACACAAAACAAAAACCAAGTAAATGCACGAGACATATACATGTAAATAGAATAAGATAGACAAGTAAAGAAATTCAAATGAAATATTGTACAGTGAAATAAAATCAAATGTATTGTTTATTGTAGTGATATATAATAAAATAAATAAATGGTCAGATGCAAACAGATGAATACTTTAGGTTATGAAGGCACTTCACAGGGCTCGGTGCATCTTCATCTGTCTCCCAGCACAAACCCTGTCTTTGGCATTGCAGGGTCACGGATGGTAACGTGGATGGCGACAGCTCCCAATCTGAGGTCAGTTTTCCTGCTGCTCTACCTCATTGTGTCTTGAGTGTTTATTTGCAATGTTCACAGTGTACTCCCCCCCCCCCCCCCCCCCCTGCAGATAAGCTGGAGCTCTCTCCCCACCAGATACTGGACCTGATGACAGAGTTGAGGGAATCAGGTCTTGTCACTGACTCGCAATTCATCCAGGGTGGATGAGCTGCTACTGAAGGAGGTCGTGCAGGACATAGAGACCACCTCTAGGAAAATGTAAGCATGATTTATCCTGAGGTTAGTTTGACTCTAGAAAGGAACAGCCCTAAATAATATGCAGAGGCTAAAGCATTAGCTAGATGGATGTATGGACGGGGGGAGGAGGGCGGGCAGACCCGGACGGATGGACGGGTGGGTGGATGAATACTTTATTCATCCCAAATTGTGAAATCATGTTGTCACAGCAGCAGTGTTATCATGCATTCGACAAGTTACAAATATAAAAAAGATAGAATAAGATACAAATAAAATTAAAAGTGACACTAGCAGCAAGTATATACAAATTCACAATAGAAAGGACATATATCACTGAGTATTTAAATAATACACAATATAACGAAAATATAGAATACATTGAATACTCTAAAGTCTACAATATACAATCTCACTAAGCTACAGAATATATAGAAATGTACTACAGACACTTATTGGCATGGTATTATATATTAATTACAACTGTGCAAAGCAGCTGTGGGTTATAGAAAAAGAGACAGGTGCACTCCCAAGTACCTGTAGTCCTTCACCACAACAACGTCCTCTCCCAGAATGCACAGGGGCTGTTGAAACATCCTCTTCAATGAGCTTTAACAAAAGACAACAAACTAAATGTATTTTTAAGACAAAAAAGAGGCATGTACAATACAAAAACATGTAAAGTAAAAAACGGGACTATGGGAACATAAAAAACCCACAAACCAACCAATACAATTGAAAAAGATCAAATACGGACTTCCGGGGACGCCATGTTCTGAGACACATGTCGGGTGTTCCCAGACTGAGATGACAGTCAATGCTCAGATAATAAGGTTCAATATCTTAGTGTAACTTTTCATAAGATCAAGAAATGATAATTCCTATTCCGTTGTGAGGGATGTGAAGCAGCCAATCACACTGAGTAACAGTTATGATTTTGTTTATCAGTAAATACGTGTTTCGCCTCTCCTCTATTACTAAGACCCAGACAGGACATCTTTTTTTACTCCTTACCTTTTTAACACAATTACCGGTACTTTCTACTTCTGACATTTGAAAACAGGCTTATTACTTTAGTTTGAATCTGCATTTTGTGGCGTTATCATTACTGTTTACAGTCATTGAGCTCATATTTCAACATAATATCATAGAGAAAACACGACTGGTGTACATATGACAATGACATGCATGTACACAGCTACAGTTGGGATACCTTTGTTATTATGTGTACTCTCATATTGGAAGAGGACATTCAGTATTTTCCCAACACTTTACCATGTTGTGTGAGACTGGCTGTCAAGGAACTTGTTTTAATAAATGTTCAAAAGAAAAACATGAAGTGCTAGATACTAAGCTGTGACCAGCATGTGACAATAAAGTGATGGATGTCCTCTCTCCCCTGTGTGTGTGCAGGGAAGAGGATGATAAGAAACTTACGCTGCAGCTGGACGAGATGAAGGACAGGATCGTCAGCGACCGGGAGAGATCCCGCCACGCTGAAAAAGAAGGTTCAGCTCCAGGACCACGTAAGGAAGCCCAGTGTACTGTACGTTAGATACAGCAGAGTAGAACTCTGAAGGATGCACTTTCATTTGATTTAACCTACAATTTAAAAAGCAAGAAATCATCTAAAGTGGTATCCTATCTCACCACAGCACACATTCCAGCAGACTCAGGGACAGTTTCACCCCACCGGCCATTAGACTGCTACCACTCTATACCATCAATCTGTTTGCATCTGAAATATTGATCTATTATTACAATAAACAGTATTTTATTTCACTGTACAGAATGTAATATTACATTCTGTCTTTTAGCTCATCTTATTTGATTTGACTTATAGTTAACTTCTCCTGCATTACTTGCACATTAGTCTTGCAACATTCTCTTGCACTATTTGATTTCTTCTCTGTTCCTTCCTGCACTACTTTTTATTGTTTTGTTTCGTTTTGTTTTATGTTGCATTGTTCGAGGAGCCTGTGACTTTAAGGTCGCCTATTATTCAAAGTCCACTTGTTCATGTATTTTATACACACATGTGTCCCCTCTGTGTTAAGAGACACAGAACGTTTTCAGGAACAAACAGTCGCTCTCTTTCTGTCCTGATCCATCCATATCAAATGTAAAAATATGAAAAAAGACTTTGCAGAGGGGTGTGGCCTGCAGCATCTCATTGAGATGTTTTCTATGTGTTTCTGTCTGTTCCCTACCTACAGGATACGATGTTGGATGCTCTCGGTGTGAAGATAACTGAAGTGTATCGCTGCTGCGTGGACTCCCATCCGACCAACCTCAGCACCTTGGAGAAGCTGGCCAGTGTTGAACACCATATATTTTTACGGTTCCAGCTCTTGGAGAGCATCCCGAAAGAGAAACTGAAGAGACTGAGGCTGAGCAAGGACAGCGTTAGGAGGGGCAGGTCTGTGTTTATGAGCCTGGAGTTAAAGGTGGATCCCAGTATGTATGCTTGAATGAGAGAGTGTATGAGGGGTCTGGGGCCTCATTTATAAAGGGATATACGCTCAAAAAATGGCGTACGCCAGGTTTCTACGCAATGTTTGCGATTTATAAAATACTAACTTGACGGAAAAATGTGCGGTCCTCCACGCAAACTCTAACCCATGCGTACGCACTAAGCACGCAAACGGGAGAGACGAGAAAACTGCGACACCGTTGGCAGAAGGAAGAATGGAGAGAAATATGTTGGAATAATACCATAAATAAAATGTTACCTCTCATTTATCAAATATGAAAAATTCATTTTCAAACATTGATTAAAGCCAATCTTAAAATGATTAAACAAACGCCTGTTTGAGACTCCTCAGTGCACACAAAAACATAACTTGGAGAAATAAATAAATACGGATATGTGATTTAAAACCACCTCGAATATGTTGTGTTAATGTTATGAAATGTTTTCTCATAAATGATGCGGTAAGCAGGAGGACAGAATTACGTCTAAACTGACGCCGTTTTGCATTTCTATAGGTTGTAGATACGAGCATGGTTTTATATACTATCACGTTTAATCGTGTTTTATGCCGTTTGCCAAGACTTGATAAGTCGCTCGTAAAACACAGGAGGTATGGAAAACCACCATATGTGGTAAATTGTACAGCTAATATAACACAACACCTTAGTTGTATTTCCTTTAACTGGTGGATTATGGATATATAGTTGCTGATCGACAGCTGGAACACAAACCACCAAATACAACAAAATAATTCAGATCCAGTCGTCATGACTCCACTCCGGAGGGATTCCCCGATCATTTCTTACAGTTTCTCATCAAGGGGGTGTCTCCTGTCCCGGGACAAAACACGCCTGAGGAAGGTTATGTGTAATTTTTTTGTCATTAACTTTTTTCGGACCACTTATTTATTTATTTTGGTGACGATCCGACCTCCATGCTGCTACTCTGGTTCAAACTGCATCCACCAAACAATATGATTTATCTCGACCTCCCCACAATAACCAAATCTGACACGGTGTGAGATGTCTTTTTTAGCTGTTCTGTCGTCATTTCCTGCGATCTTCTTCATGCAGTCAGTCAAAATGAATGAATGAATGGGCGTTTCTTTGACTATTTATAGGCAAATATGGGCGTTACGAGTCGATTGTGATTTATAAAGGGAAACAGGCGTAGGGAGTGCCGTACGCACTTCCCTCGGCGGTACGCAATGTTTTGTGAATCGGAAAATGGCGGAACATTTATGTACCTATTTTTGTGCTTTGTACTACGTAAGCAACCTTCCTACGTCAATCCACGCAAGGCGTTATAAATGAGGCCCCAGGTCATATATTTCACCCAAACATGTACATAATCCTTTGTTTCCTTTTCTGAGTGTTTTACTATTTGCACTAGAGTATTCACATATGTTGTAAATGGAAATGATATGACATTAAACCTTTTCAAAGGGTGTGTTTGGTATTCACTGCAGTTGATATGATTAGTGTAGTTGCCAGCAATGTGAACCTGGACATTTCTGACATTGTCAGGTTCAAAAATAGCAGTTTTAACCAGAAGGTGGCAATATGTGTACTCTCTGTGACAGGCTGGTTATTATCCCTACTGCAGACAATTTATCTTAAATATGCAGTCTGTCCTATCCAAATGATCCAGAGTCCCCTAAATCTTCTAAACCCACCCACAATTAATCAAATCAGCCCACAGAGAGTACAAAGATTGGCATTTCTGGTTAAAACTGACATTTTTGATCCCTGAAAATGTCAGAAATGGACTCCTCAATAACCCCCAAAACCACTCGGAAATGTTCCAAATCTGCCCATTTTTTAACATAGTGTCTGTACTAAAGTTAGCATCCGGCAGTTTGTATGTGCTGGGGACCCGTACTATACATTTCTAACAGAAAACGTTGTGGTACTTCAATATTTTACGGGTTCACAATAGGACTCTATGATGTGGCAACTAGACTAATAACAGAAAGTGCAGAAAAAAATGGGAAGTTTGCAAATGAGCTTTTTTAGTGTCATATGTTGCAGGCCAGTCACTAAAGTAAATGTTTTTATTAACAACGTGTAGAGAGGTGTGGTGTGTGATGAGCTCTGTTAGGTTAAACCTTCTTCTCTTGTACTGCATCATATTCCAGCTGCGTGAGGAGCAGCTGAGACTGGAGAAGGAGAAGCACTTAGAAAATGTGCAAGCTAAGATCTAGGGAGGAAGCAAGAAAAAAGTGAGTCTTCTCTCCAACAGGAATAATGCCATATTGGAAACATTATACACACATTTTAATTTAATGCAATTAATCAGGATCATCCTCCACT